TGCCGTCCTTCCAGACAGCCTTCCAGATAACCTTCCGAACAAAGCTGGGGCTGTGAGGGTAGAGGCAAGCCATCGCGGCTGTGAGGGCCAAGCCCCTTGCCAAATTTTTGTGCACTGGGCCTCTAATATATATATATATATATATTAAATCATATATTTTTATTGATTTCAGAGAGGGAGAGAGAGATAGAAACATCTATGATGAGGGAGAACCATTGACTGGCTGCCTCCTGCACACCCCACACCGGAGATAAAGCCCACAACCCAGGCTTGTACTCTGGGAATTGAACCATGACCTCCTGGTTTAAAAGTCAATGCTCAACCACTGAGCTATGCCGGGTTTGCAAAATGAGCCTTCTGATGTATATTTAAATTTGAACATCTCTGCCTTAAATCCTGGATTAGTGTTTTCATAACCACCCCCACATTGTATCAGGATGGAATAGGGGTAGATATTCTACAGCAAAGAATAAGACATGAGTGCTCCATCACTCAAGGCCTAATCCTTTCCACTTCTAGTCCTGGGAACCTACACATGCTGCCATGGCAACATCACATCAACTCCTTCCTGAAACTGTTCAATCAGGGTCCCAGAATGGGCTACTTCTGCTGCCCTGAGCACTTCAGGGTGAGATGCTAAACAACTCACCTTTCAGAGCTTGATAGCCCAGGTGAATAGGACTGAATTTAATCCCTGAAGGAAATATAATACTATTAAGAAATTATGAAAACAAATTAATTTATATAAATTAAAAAACATAAGCAAAGGAACAAATTTTATTTTTATTTTTTTAACCAACTGAAACATAGTTTATTCATCTCATTAGGAGATGCATCTCCAATGAATGTTTACTTTTTCTTCTTTTTATGTTAAAGCACCAACAATCTTTAAGAACTCAGAAAGTGTGATCAGATAGTGCAAACAAGACACACAAACCAAAAGATTGTGTCTCCCAGCGATGGGTCCCAGCTGCCGTTCCCCTCCCCGCCCCAGCCATGGCGACCGGCCTCAAATCCACCTGCTATTGAAAGTGAAACTCAGGACGGCCAACGTGGCACTTTTCACCCATCACAGGAAGCAGCTCGAGTCTGAGAAAGAAAAAGCCCGCCCTTTCCGGTAGCTCCCAGGGGCGGGGCCGCCTCACCGGAACTGAGTGATGCCTCCTGGGCTTACACCGCGCAGATTGTGATTGGCTGTCGTTCAGCATTATGTTAATGAGGTGGCCGGTTTTTAAAAACTTTGGACATTTAATTTCCACCTAAGTGTTAAATGTCATTGCTGAGTGATAGTATCTGAAGGATTATATAGACTGGAAAGCTTTTCTCTCTGCCAGTGGAATCAGAACTAGGGAAACTCTCACCATGAATTCAAAGTGTGCGGCGGCGGTAGACCTGGCGGAAGCGGAAGGTATTGTTATGGCTGTACTTACAGCGATCGTTTCTATGGTTTGTTATTAGAGAAACTTCTTTGAAGGTATAAAACCTATGGTAGGATGCAGTATTCTCTCATGAGTGTGAAGCAGGATTTTGATGTTCTGTGGGCAGCTGCTTTTTCACTTTAATGATCATTCTTCTGTTTTAGGGCAGAGGGAGAGAGTGTATTCTGAGTGGCTTTCAGTTTTTACTTGGTTGAAAAGGAAGAATAAGTTCGTTATCACTATTGTAGTTTGTTTTCGTAGTTGTTCAAAACTGCTGAATGATTTGTAAATCTCCCAGAATTGTATCTAAGAATGAGCCATTGTTAACAATATATTCTTTCAAGTTTTTCAAATGCATGAAAGTATAATTTCTATGAAAAATTAGACTTTATTTTGACCATATTACGAACACCAACATCATCAAATGTCCTAAAAATGTCTAAAATCAACATCTTTTTACAATACTAAAATAACGTAATTATTATAAAGATGTATTTACAATGGAGAATCACAAAAATTGTGATGTGAAAACTCATATTTTCTACCCATGAGTACAAAAATCCTAAACTAATCCAAAGTAAATGTTTTATTTAACCAATCACAATTTTCAAAAAGACAAAGCATTTATGACTTGTCATAACAGGGTCATAGTATCTATACACGAGAGGCCTGGTGTATGAAATTCATGCACTGGGGCAGGGGGTCCCTCAATCAGGCCTATGCCCGCTCACAGTCTGGGACTGCTGGGGGAATGTCTGCCTGCCAGCTTAGGCCTGCTCCCCACAGGGACTGGGCCTAAGCCGACAGTCGGACATCCCTCTTGCAGTCCAGGACCCCTTGCTCTTTACAGCTCAGCTTGCTGCTCCTTAGCGCTACTGTGGAGGCAGGAGAGGCTCCCACCACCACCACTGTGCTTGCCAGCCATGAGCATGGCACCCACCACCGGGGGGCAGCTCCTGCATTTAACATCTGCCCCCTTGTGGTCAGTGTGAATCATAGCAACCAGTCGTTCTGGTTGTTCCACCTTAACGGCAGCTTCAGGTTTTATTATATAGATACAGTCTACAGATCTATTTTTTGTCCTGTGAATAATTTTTTTATACTGACAACTGTATATTGGTGGTGGTGTTTTTTCTTTCTTTCTTTCTTTTTTTTTTTGGTTAATCCTCACACAATATTTTTCCATTGGCTTTTATACACTGGAAGGGAGGGAGAGAAAACATGATGTGATAGAGACACTGATTTGGTTGCCTCGCCTTGGTGCCCCCAAGCCTGCAACCGACCAGAATTGAACCCAGGACCTTTCAGTCCATGGACCAACGCTCTATCCAATGAGCCAAACCGGCTAGGGCCACTTTCCCTTTAATCTCTATGTACCAGTCACAGTAATTTTTAGTATCTCAGCATTTTTAATTCTTAAATGGAAGCAACCTTTCAAATTGCTTTTTCATCTTTTACTTTCTCGTTTTATTTAACCAATCACAATTTTCAAAAAGACAAAGCATTTATGACTTGTCATAACAGGGTCATAGTATCTATACACGAGAGGCCTGGTGTATGAAATTCATGCACTGGGGCAGGGGGTCCCTCAATCAGGCCTATGCCCGCTCACAGTCTGGGACTGCTGGGGGAATGTCTGCCTGCCAGCTTAGGCCTGCTCCCCACTTGTTTTTTCAGTTCACAGGCTGACACTCCATCCACTGAGCCAAACCGGTTAGGGCTTAGTATATTGTTTTTTAATTGCTATTCACAGTTATGCTAAATGGATATTTCATAATTTACCAAGATACTCAATTATCTTATATTTTTAAGTTTTTCCATTTTTAAATTACAAAAGCAGCTGTGATTAATAGAAAATGCCTTTTTTAACCAAATAACCTGCTGTAATTAGAATCGGTGGGTCAAAGAAAATGAAAAATTTTAAATGGGTCCAGGTTGCCTTCTGTAAAGGATCTACTCAAAGACTTTAATTCAGCCGTTCTCAACCTGTGGGGTCAAGACCCCTTTGGGGGTCGAACGACCCTTTCACAGGGGTTGCTTAAGACCATTGGAAAACATATTTAATTACATATTGTTTTGTGATTAATCATTATGCTTTAATTATGTTCAATTTGTAACAATGAAATTGGGGAGGTCACCATAACATGAGGAACTGTATTTTTTTTAAATATATTTTAAAAGGTTGAGAACCACTGATTTAGAGCCTTTCTGACCAGGGAAAATGAGACATTTTCCAGGTGGGCTCATGG